TCGATATGTTTCGGTCTAAGCCCCGAAGGTTCAGTGACCACATCCAACACCTACATCTCCCGTTGAGCATCTAATATTATGGATTATGCTTGGTTTTACTATAAAGCCCAAATTGGCAACAAAGATTACAAGAATGTTCAGAACAATCACAAAGAAAGTACAAGAACACTTATCTCTCACAATACAGCAATTGATTCACGAATCACAAAGAATCGGACACTAAGCTAACAGAATCAATTACACAGCCACATGAACACTTCTAACATATATTCACTCGGAATATCTCCACTAACGAATCACTCTATTACACAATACAAACTCAAATCAAGGATTTGATTTACAGAGAGAAGTTTTCAAACGGCGCAGCCAGAGAGAGAACAAGAGAATGGGATTAACCCTAGAAATCGACTGAAGAGATAATGCCAAATGAAATGGCATTAAGTATTAGAACCATCTAGATGCCAATCCAATGGCTGCAATAGGTCCACATGTCAATCATCCAATGAAGCCTTTAGTTTAAGTAAAAGTTGCACTTTCAAAAAACACGATTTTGCCAAATTATGGGAGCAGCCAATTGAACCCGTTCCATTCCAACACAGAAGAATCTCGAAAATTAGTCTACCTCCTCAGAGCATTGTGTGAGACTCTTAGGCTATTCCCTTCCATGGCATTGGAACACAAATCACTAGTTCGACCGGACATCCTCCCAAGTGGTCACTGTATCCCTCAAAATACTAAAATAATCCTATTCTTTTACTCTACAGGAAGGATGAGGAGAATATGGGGCAAAGATTGTTTAGAATTCAAGCCGAAGAGGTGGATTTCCAAGCGCTATGGAATAAAGCACGAACCGTCATTCAAGTTTCCAGCGTTCAATGCTGGCCCAAGAACCTGCATTGGCAAGGAGATATCTTTTGTGCAAATGAAAATAGTGGCAGCAACTATGATATATAATTACCATGTTCAACTGGTGGAAGATCAATCAGTTTCTCCTAGTGATTCTATCATAATTCAAATGAAACATGGTTTAAAGGTCAAGTTATCCAAAAGACATGCCTAATACAGTACATCAGAACAATAAGAATATGTAGATGCTGAATGCTTTGGAAGAAGGGAACTGAAAAATATCGATATTTCACCTAAATATCTAACTACATATAAAAGTGGAATTTTACTGGTGTGCCAGAAGAGGTGCACCCACCTGGGTGACCGACCCTCATAAGAGGGTGGGACTGACGTGGGACCCAAGTGTAATAAAAAATGAAAAAAAAGGCCCCACCCCCTCCCAATGTGTCTATCCTGTCAGGGAGGGTGACAGGCACCGCAGCATCATCCATAAAAGTGTGGGTTTGGATTTACTGTTCATAAGCCTAATGGCCAGGTAAGCCTAGCCGAGTTCGAGAGTGAGCCGTGTGAGTCAAACTGTTTACAAGTGAATTGGTGTAAAAAATAGGTTTTCCTTTTGTTTGTGTGGTTAATCCATCTCTTCATTCATTTTTCCCCTATCCTCACACAATCTCAATCCCTCTCTTCGTTCTTTCACCTGTTTTCATTTGCTCTCTGTAGTTGTTCCTTCAGCCCTCCAAAATCACCTGACCTTTTCTTTTCTCTTACTAAAATCTTGTCATGCTTTTTCTCTTTCTTTCTAGATCTGGGAAATCTGTTCTTATTTCGGGCAAAGGTTCAAATCGTTACGATTTGTGCCTCAAATCTAACTCTGAGCATAAACAAAGAAGAATCCAGTGCGGAACTGCTGAGAAGTATTCATAAATTGGTTTTTATTGGCGATGGAGTTGGCGTCCCGATTTGATGACGCTTCATCTTCGGGATTGGGTATGGATACAGTTTCGAATATGGGGGCGTCCACGTCGACACCTATAAACTCCTCCAATATTGGTTTCCAGGTTTTAATTATGTCTCTATTTTTCTGCCTATATTGTTTATTTTAATAATTAGTAATTGTTGCGTGAATATTTTAGTGCAATTTTTGACTTAGGGTTTTGTGATTATTTTAATTTTGATTTTGATTTGTCCAGTTGTTGAAGAAACACGGATGGAAAGAAGAAATTGGACTTGGTATCTCTGAACAGATTCTCCTTAAACCGTTGTACTATTTCTTGATTTTTACTTATTTTCTTCCTCTAATTTAATTTGAATTGGATTCTTCACCTTATCTACCTAATCAAGGTTGCCTAGCTTAGTGACTATTTTACATGTCATCGGAACCATAAGAGTTACATAGAGAAGTATGATGTATTGCGTTGGATTTTCGTCAATTATTGAATCTTAAATCCTTTTAAATGTTGCTGGATTTCCTTCAACAGTTGAATCTCTTTGAAATTGTTGGGTGCTGCTTTAAACTTGACGAGACTCAATTAGATAACAACAAAATAAAATATAGTTAAGAAGTCACGTGCCTCTCTTTATGAAGATTTTAGGAGCATAGAATAGCGTACTTAGAAAATGTTGTAAGTACAACATTTGCCTATGAGAATGTTATTGACCAAGAAGGTGTTATAAATCGAAATGTATTGAGCATAGAATAGTGTACTCTGAAAATTTTTAGAGATAGGAGTTATTTATAGATGCGTTACGCTCATTATAATTATGTAGAAATAATACTTCACCCTTCCATGATCCCAATTATAATTGTCGGTGACCTTCACTAACATAAATGATGATGATCTATGGTCTCTACAATAATTTAGTTGATGTTGCTATAGAAAAATGATGTTCAATTATCTCACATGGCTCCTTTCCTTTTCTTGGATTTACTTCTTCGAAATAAAGAGGAATAAATGTTACTCATCTGAGTTATAAAATTGGCTTATCATGCAACAGGAACGTCCATAGCCAGTTCTTGTTCCTTATTTGAGATTGTGAATATAACTTTGGCATATGGTGAATTAAATCTCCATGCTTGATGCTTTATCAATTTTACAATAAAGAGGAAGACATATCATGCAAGACAATTAGATTTTGAATGAAAAATATGGCTTATTTACTTTTCACTTAAAACTGATCATCTAGAGCTAATTCTTGTTCCTGATTGGAGAATATGGAACATACTTTTTGTCATAGTGATGTTTTAATTAATCTGAACTCCAAACATAAGATAATTTGTCAAAGTTTCTAATTAGTCCTTGATTCCATGCAAGGTAGGTTGGAGCCTGCACGTGCTTATATTAACCATGTCAAGAGAGGATTGAGATAACATAAACCAAAGAAGGCAAAAGAGAAGTTGAGAAACCCTGAGAATCCTGATGAGAAGGGTGAAAAGGTCAGTTTTATGTTGCTAAGCGAAAGTTAATTTAGCATTTCCTGTTCATCTTTATATCTGAAGTTATTTGTTGCTGCATCTATTATGGAAGAAAAATTATGTGAGTGATATGTGGCATTAACTCTAATGGACATCTGGTGTCGTGGCTTTGAAGAATATTTTGTCAGTGTCAGAAATGTAAATCTGAAGTTAAAGCAATACACATCCTTAACCTCACTTTCTTGATTTCCTTTTTCCATTATGGAGTGGAATAGAGTCCAAGAGCATGTTTGGGTGGCATATAAATATGGACAAACTATCTTATAAGCCGAAAGCCCATCCAATCATGCTGCTTAAATGTTAGGTTGGCAAATTTTAAGCCCGAGTTTAAATAAGCCAAAAGTCCAATCCTGCGTGACTTATCTATAATATAAGTGGGGTTGACCAAGTAATTACCCATTTACCCTCCACTTTTTTAACAATTATAATCGTACCAATATAAAATTATTATCATTCACAGAAATTACATTTCATTTACATCTCACACTTAGTGTTGTAATTCTTAATTAATATACGAAAACATGCCAGTTAATCATGAAAAATTTATTAGGTTTTTCTTTTTCTAAGAAGAATCTCTATAAAAACATTGGCTTTGCTTAAGTAAAATACTATGAGGATATAATTATGGTACACATATTATTCTTAATCTCAAGTAAAACACCGGAGTTATTTTCATCATTTGGCACAGCCAAAAGCTCAGAAGTAAATCCAAATATATGCATCTAAATCTTATTCTACTTTCTTCTCTGATATCGTGATGGCTCAATTGTATTCTGAAGTAAGTGTGTTAATAATTGCACAAGATTGAAACACCACATAACCAAATTCCAACATTATCACCTACACCGCATCACCCACTACACGTGCAATGCACGTGTATTCACTAGTTATTATATAATGTGTATGATATATTAGTTGTATTTAGGTTATGAAAACTAAAGTTCAACTGCTGTGTTACAGTTTGTTCCACAATCATTGAGAAACAATGTATATCTTAGTTGACAAAGGTAGAAAAACTTCTATATTAATGTTCGGTTTAGCAAAAATAATTGATGAAAATATAAATTAAGGTCAACAATTAATTTCAACAATTCCACAGTTTGTTTCTATTTTCTTGGGATCTGCAACTTTTGTCTATTTTTTAACAATACATTTCATCAACTTTTATCGAAACCTACTAAAAATCTGATTTTTACCAAAACCAAATAGGGGCTAATTATTATAATTGACCACCCCTGTTTGGCTCCCTTTCTTTCAATTTTTAATGTTTGGAATAATATTTTTTTGAAGAATTGGTGGTTGAAAAAGAAGGAAATTTTTTCGATTTACATGTAATATTATTTTAAGGAAAATTGTATGGTTGAAAATAAAAGAAAAAAATGAGAATGAGAAAGGGGGCCAAACAAGGGCAAAATGACTATATCCAATTATCATTAGAATTAATAGGGCCGATATTTGTAGAATGTTATTTGGGAAAAATTCAGTTATCAG